GGTCGCACTAGTCCTTAAGAAGCACGTACAATGTTATTTCGAACACTAAATGACGTTAAACAAATAAAATGATCTTAATTCTCGTTAAATGCGCAAAGTAGTTACGTATTTCTTGTCCATTTATGATTATCCATCATGTCTCTATTTTCAGTTTCTTACCGTCTTAGAACTGCTGTCGTTCATTGGTCCTAATTTTGTCGTAATTCAATGGGCACTTCGTTTCTGGCGTTTCTCGGTTGTTTCCTCGGTTCTGCCAACAACAAGGAATTTTCTACAAATTACACTTTTTTTTTCTATAATCATGACATTTTTTCTCATAATTCAATGGGCACTTCGTTTTTGGCGTCCACATAATCAACGTGGTTTTTGCGTAAATTTTATTTTTCTGATTATTCATTATATTACAAAATAAAATTTAGGCAAAACCCGATGTTAGGCTACCAAGAAAGTGCCCATTGAATTATGAGAAACGCGCTGTCGGATTCACCGAGATATTTTGCACCTGGCGCTCAATTTTTATCATTGGTTTTTTTATTTTTATCTGGCGCTAATTTGGCTTAGCGCGGAGCAAGCACCAAATTTTCTAATAATTACGAAGAAAAGTATTTAAATTAATATAATTACTAGTTTTTTCTGAATGGATAACTGTTTTAAAATATGCCAATGCATAGTCGCAGCTAGAGTTTGCCTATCTTGAGAAAATTAACTGGAACCTATAATAGTATTAAAAGCGCTAGTTTCAAAAAAGTTTCACCGAGGGAAATAGAATTTTTTCGGCCGTTACCCTACGTTTGCTATTTTTCAAAGGCTTTCCATGCCGTTGGAACTTATTCACTTGTATTCACCGCACTTTATTCCCGAATACTCTTTCTTGTTTTATGTGTCTTGTTACGTTTCAACGTCAAAGACATCTCCGTCAGACAAAAGTAGAATAAATGTGAAGAATATATAATTATTTAGACTATATATATGTAATAGTACTGACGAAGAAGAAAGTGATAATCCGTCATTGTCTCTTGTTCTTCGTCAGTACTATTACCTATATATAGTCCGAAAATACTTTTTTCGAAATTTCTTCAAAAATGAGTCATCCACTGTGTAACAGACTGTAGTCGGGGAACAAGTATTGAAAATACGGAACAGATTTTAACAAAACTTTTAATGGCATGACACAATCGCACTGGCTCTCACGCTTCCAGCATGATTCTTAGACAAGATTCGCCACGCGAAATAATTTAGCATTTCGCGCATCATGTATTCGAGAATAAATAGTGAAAAGTCACCACATGAGTCGCAAGATCGAGTCTGACTTGTATCCTCAGTGATTTATCCGAAGAGAATTCACTGCAAGCACATTTCTCGCTTGTAATAGCGTCATGTTCCAGGGCAACACCCGCGTTCAAAATCTTATAAGTATGAGCATTGTATGAGAGGTGTTTATTCGAAACAAAAATATGCTTCTAGCATAGATATAAAATATTATGAAAAGATGTGTTTGTGGTTTAACATTGTGTTTTGTGAAAAAAGGTATTGCACGTCCAAGAAACAATTATTGCAAACAGCAAAATAATTTAAGCACATGTGGAAAACTATTAGGAAAAAGAATCCTTTTACTTGTGTGCATCAAAATTGAGAAAAAGTCTTTTTCATGCTCAAAATTGTGCGATTAAAATGCAGATATGTGAAACGAAACACGTTCAGTGCCATGGGTTTCTTCAAATTATCCCCATATTTCCATTATGACCTTTTACTCTTAATATTTTGAGAAAAACCACCAGCTTGTTTTCCCTTTCCATTCAGTGGTCCTGGTGTACCTGAGTGAGTGCGGTCTCCTGGATTCATGAGAGGAGAATCGTGACGTGTTTCATTTCCTCGGGGAGGTGGTGGTGTTCCAACTCCTTGTCCTTTGGCTCCGCCACTGCGGAAAGATGGCGGTGTTTGCTTAGCTCTCTTTCCTCGGTGAGCAGCTGATGCTGTTTGTCTGTGAGGCGGTGGTGTTCCTGTTGGATGATGATTTGGACCTTCTGATGCTCCGTTCTTTGAAGGAGAAGGGTGATCTGATCCCATGTTATTACCATGATGATCGGATCCTGTTTGGTTGCCGTGATGAGGTGGCCGTGGCATTGTGTTATTACTGTGGTGAAGTGGCGGTTGTCCTGTGACATCAGCATGCTTTTCTGATGGTTTTTGTTGTTTATTAATCGAAGCGGCATTGATAAAACAAAATTCGATTGCTATTAAAAGCTAAAATAAAGTGGCAGACGAAATCAGATATGTGAGATTAGCGAGAATTTCTTCTCTAATTCTTATACTACCGTATTCATTCACTAACGGCAGTTTATTACTTACCAGTGAGAGGTGCATCGTATATTTCATTGTCCTGATCGTGATTGTCTTATTAGTGAAATGAAACAGTACGATTGCTATATTGAATGAAAACTGTTCATTTCATCCGGCTTTATATAGTCGCTAAACTCATGACTTATCATGTAGCATTCATTCATTCAATATTCTTTTTACGCCTTCTCCATTACTGATGCATATTGAAAAGGTGCGCTGTATAACTACCTACCTTTGATGTACTAGATATTTGGTTTTCCTTTCTCTTCTAAACATAATGAGAGAAGCAAATGTCCTTTTTGTGTCCCGACAAAAAATATGTCCTCTTTGTGAAGCGTCGTGATTTTAACGTGTATATGATACACATTGCTATTACTTTAATAAGATATAACTAACAGTAGTCATATTACCTGGTAAATGAAAACAAAGTATATTTGATTGCTAAATA